CCATCTCGTTCCCTCCTTTATTTCCCCCCAGCTCCATTTCCCCTCCCATCTCCTGCCCAGTTCCCACTCTCCTATTCCATCAGCTCCCCTCTTCCACCTCCTCCCCAGCTCCATCTCCGCTCCTCCATCTCCTCCCCTCCGCCATCTCACCCCTCCATCTCCTCCCCTCCGCCATTTCACCCCTCCATCTCCTCCATCACCTCTGTCTCCCCTCTCCATCACCCCTCTCCCACTTCCTGCACCCCACTCCATGACGGATTCCTGTTGATTGGGGTGGGGTTTGGTGGGACACTGTATGTAGGGATTGACTCACCGCGAGAGGTTTTCTGGAGAAGATGAAGAGTATGATGACGAGCAGGCACAACCCTCCAAAGGAGATTAACTGCTTGGGCCTCTTCGCTGTGTCAACCGCCAACCAGATGATCAAACCCGCCAAAGCCAACAAGCTAATTATCCTAATGGAGATCAACACAAAGAAACGATATTGCTCATTGCTTTGTTTGAACACATTTTGTTTAACCACTGTTGAGATTGAGGTGGAATATTATAAGAATGTGATAATATTATAGATAGCGCTGGAGTTCACTGTGAGGTTATTTGGTGCACAGGGGAGTGTTGTGAACATATTAACCAGAGACCTCACCTGACCCCGTCCACTGGATGGAAAACATCTCAAGTCTCAATTGAAAGGACGGACAAGGAAATTGCCAACCAAAGGTCTTGCACATGTTTTTGTCAGGTCAATGACATCATTAAGGGTAAACGAGGGTCATTAAAGTCCTTTAGGAAAGGAAATCTGCTGTTCTCACCTCATCTGATGTGACTCCCTGTCCACAGTAAGGTGGGTGACTCTGAAAGGTTTAGAAAACCACTCAGTGTATTGAATAGCTCCAAATTCCAATAAACACATTCACTTTCTCTCTCACACACACACACACACACATCAAAGACACAGAGACATTCATTCACACAGACAGACAGACACACACACACACAAAAACACAGAGACATACATTCACACAGACACACATACACACACACACACACACACACACACA